ATTTTTTTTTATCCGAACAATTGATTATTTCGATTTTGTTTTTATTGGTGAGAGAGGGACTGTTTATATTTGGCTAGTAATAGTAAATATTGTATAAAAACTCGTTTAATTTTTTTTTTTTCAAGAAATGTATCTAATATTTTGTTTAATATTTTCCAAGATAATCCAGTTCTTTTTCATTGTGTCCAATGGTTGCCAAGTTGGCTATAGTGGGACACAATGATAAAGTACAACTGTCTTATTTATTATTTTCTAAGTTAATCCTTCTCTTTTTCATTGTGTTCATTGGCTGCTAAGAGTACATAGAAAAAAAATTATTAGATTATCACTCTTTAAAAAAAAATCGATGAGGGGGCGTTTTTTTTGTTTTGTTTTTTTGTTTTGTTTTGTTTTTTTTTAATCCGAACAATTGATTATTTTGATTTTGTTTTTATTGGTGAGAGGGACTGTTTAAGTCACAAATTTGCATTTATGCTGTTATAAAATAATTTATTAATTGATGCGGCAAAGAAAATTTTGTTTTTATTCCCACATTAATATTTCAATAATTTTTCACGCAGGAGGTGGGGGGGGGGGGGTTGTGGGGGAGTAATAATATAACAATTTTTTCAGTGCCATAAATTGGCTGTAGTGGGACTCAATGATAAACTATAAATATCTTGTTAAATATTTACCAAGATAATCCTATTCTTTTTCATTGTGTCCAATAGTTACCAAATTGGCTATAGTGGGACACAGTGATAAAATCGATGAGGGAGGTCGGGTTTATTATTTTTATTGATTATTTCGCTTTTGTTTTTATTGATGAGGGAGGGACTGTTTATATTTGGCTAGTAATAGTAATATTGTATAAAAACTGGTTTAAATTTTATATATTTTTTAAAAAATGTATCTGAAGTCACAAATTTGCATTGTGTCATGCTATTAAAATAATTGATGAGGCGAAGAAATTTTTTGTTTAATTCCCGCATCAATATTTCCCGAATTTTTCACGCGGGGTGGGGGGTTAGGGTTAGGGTTCTTGTATAAAGACTCGTTTATTTTTTATAGTTTTTTAAAGAATTGTATCTGAAGTCACAAATTTAATCTAACAATTTTTCAGTGCCTTCAATTGGCTATAGTGGGACATAGTGATAAACTATAAATATCTTGTTTAATATTTTCAAAAATAATCCTATTCTTTTTCATTGTGTCCAATGGTTCCCAAATTGGCTATAGTGGGACACAGTGATAAAGTACAACTTAATATTTTTTAAGTTAATCCTTTTCTTTTTCATTGTGTTCAATGGCTGCTAAAAGCACATAGAAATTTTTTTATTAGATTATCACTCTTAAAAAAAAACGATGGGGGGGGGGGGGGGGGGTCCTAATTTTGATACTTTCCTCTGGTGATCATGAAAATCAATCTGTTTTTAGACTGCTCATCGATGTCCAATTAATCATGCCTTCGATTAAATTAACAGGATTTGATTATCCACAGAGAGCAAAGTTGATCCTATCGCAATGCATAATGGCAGAGTTAAAATAACCCATCTATCAAAGAGTTAAATTGATCCTATCACAAAGCATTATGGGAGAGCCCGCGTTATTCGAGAAAAAACTTTAGTGTCGCCATTTTCTGTGTCTTGATGTTGAAAGAAAATGAAGAGTTTAATTGATTTTTTTCGTTTTTTATTGGAATGTGTTTGAAGGTATGTACACAATAACATAGTATTCTTCTGAATATTCACGTTAAATTATTTTACTCTGATTTAGGGCAACATTCTGTGTAGAAAGGGGCCTGGCCTAGGCCCAGCTATGCCAGCCAGACTGTTGTACTTGTAGCCTAGCCTAGTACCGTAGTATAGTAGTAGTGGCCAGCGCGGAGAATTGTGGCATAGGGCCTAGGCCTAGAAGAAATCCGTCGACGCATTTCGAAAAATGAGTTCCGCGCAGATTTTTCCAAAAATTAGGCTTTTGACCAAACCAGGCCCTATAGCCTAGGCCTAATAATATAATTAATATAGCCTAGTATAAAGTAGGCTTAGCCTAAGTTCCTAACTAATGAGCCTAAAACGATGCAATTATTTTTGATTATGCAGCAATTTACGATTCCGCGCACCTATTTTCTAGCGATTTTCCTCGCAATTTGAGCAGATTTTTGAGATACTCAGCCTATGCCTATCCTAGGCTCTAGCCTCTGCGCAATTAAAAAATCTGTGCAGGAGGCCTAGTACTATTGTCAGCGTCGGTCGGAAATTTTGAGTGCCGGACGGGGCATAAATAATGTGACTTTTTGTGGCGTTTATATACTTTCTACTTCAAAATCAAATCAAGAACGCATAGGCCTAGACATAATATACAACAAAACATAAATCATCAATTACTGTAAGCTTTAATATTATATTACGAGAAATACAATTTGGCAGTACATTAATATTATTAACATTCTTCTTCTTTCTCTTCTTCAATATATGCATCGACACTGTAATATGAAAATAATAAAATCCGATGGTTTGATTATCAACATATAAATTCGTTTGTTTCAAATAGATAAAACGAAATATATTATGAATCTTAAAACATTATTATTCACTTACACAAACATAATAAAATCCACTGCTCGTTTGTTCCAAATAGGTCAAACGAAATATATGAATCTTAAAACATTATTATTAACTTACACAAACCTGACAAAATCCACTGTTTATTTGTTTCAAATAGATAAAATGAAACATATGAATCTTAAAACATTTATTAACTTACACAAACCTAATAAAATCCAATGTTTTGTTCGCAAACTCATCGCATTATTAATGCCATTGAATTGCTTAAAACGACATTAATTAATTAGCAGCAAAATACCTGATAATACAACACGATTATTAACATATGATTGCACATATAATGTACATTCGTTTGTTTTAAATAGATAAAACGAAATATATGCCATCTAAATCATTAATTATTAACTTATACGGGACTTACACAATAAGTGTAGATAAAAAACTTACACAATAAGTGTGGATAAAATCCACTGTTGTTTTGGCAAACTAATGGCAGCATAATAATGCCACATTAATTATTTGGCAACATAAAAAGACCTAACAATAAAACACGAAATAATGGATACTGAGTCTGTAGCAGCAATAGCTTTGCGCCTACTTGGTGTTCCATACAAATATATCTCGGCTAAACCGGTCCTACACCATTCTAAACCGACTTGACCTAGGCCTATTCCAAACCATTTAACTACAATGTACTGCATTGGGAATGCGCCATCGGCGTTCCATACATATACACGCATTGGCGGCCGTTCTGGAGGGCGGCCGCTATAGGTAGCGGCCGATATGGGCCTACTCCCTTGCAAAGAAGTTACTTTGCTTTAGAATTTTACAGAGAAGAAGAAAGAGAAGAGAAGAATGTACAAAGACGAGGGCAAGAACTCAAAAGTTCAGGACGAGAAAAGTTCTGATGGAAAGAGTGAGCCACGGCCAATACCACACTCTGTTCAAGACCCTGATGAATCAGGACAGAGAATGGTTTTTTAAATAGGTCTAGGCCTAGCTGAAGACTATGTGTATTTGACTAGGCCCTAGAGGATCTTAAATAATATATTACTACTACAGTAAGTAGGCGTAGGCCTATAGTACAGTATACTGTCTGCATGACCATGGGTTCGGTCTCCTAGATAGAGGGCCCGCCGTAGGTTGGCCCTAGGCTCTAGCTAGGCCTAGGCTACCAGTACCTATAATCTTGGCCTAGGCCTAGGCTGCATACATCCTAAGGGCCTAGGTAGGCCTACTTGTTTGGATTGGAGGGAGCAGGGTCTAGGCCTAATGTTATTTTAAGGCAGTCAAATTATGTTATGTTATTATTAATTATATTGTGTGACTATCAACTATAATAAATAGGCCTAGACTTATACCTAGTAGGGCATTATAATATAAAATCAACTTTTTATTTCACACTCCCTGCGATTGCTTTTCTTGGGGCCCTGAGAGCCGAGAAGTTAAATCACTGCTCATACAGTACATGTACATTGCTTTTTTATGTGCATCCATTCATCTAGGGACCGGCCAAGTTGACAAAATTTCATTAAAAAACAATTGCTACCAATTGATTTTATCTACCCAATTTACTGCTATATTATTATTAATATCAGTATGTTTAGGTATGCGAAATGTGGGTGGGTGGGGTGTAAAACACAGCATTTACTTATGCCATCTATATGGTATGTTTTTGGTTACGAATCTTTGCAATATATTCTTTTAGGCATAGATTAAGTTAAGGCCACTCTTGTAAGGGCAGCGGTGTGGGACCCCCTTTAGAAATTCCTTCCCTCCGTTAGTCTTAGGAGTTACTAATTAGGAATATATTATCTATCTTGGGCAAGTAAAGGTACTCCTGAAGCCTCCCCCACCATTGATAGTTTTTTTTTTTTTTTTTTAGTTAGGGTTACAAAACTGTTAACAACTCTCTCGACTTCTGTTTTGCACAATGGGCATCTTTGATGGATACTGGCGCATTATAAATGTTATTATTATTATTATTATTATTATTATTAATATTCTGCCATTTATGTTCCCACCTCTTCTTAAGCTTGACACCATTCTTTCAGATAGTCATTATTGTTATTGTCCAATATGAATGCTATCTGGAAAACTTGCAAATAGTAATTTCATATTTAGTCCAGACTAACCGTACCATTGTTTCTATCCATGTGTCTGTGCATAATGGGCCAGTAGAAATTCATATTCATCATCATCATCACCATCATCACCACCACCACCATCATCAATACCTATACCCTATCATCATTTTATTCTATTTAAAAACCAGTAGCAATATAATGATTAATTTAGCTACAATCAATCATACCATCATGTCATACCACCATGTAAACCATGTAAAAATTTATTGCTACCAATATTTGCTATCAAAATTTCCATTAAATATTTAATTTTGCTTTTCTTAGTAAACAAAATACATGAAAATCAGTCGGCGAAAATTCGTAGCAGGGTAATTTTTTTCTGTGGTTTCATAAGAAAATAACGATGAAGTAAATTTATTAGTGAACAAGTAATACAATTTAATACTACAGTCAGACATCTAAACACAAAAATACCATTATATTTGAAGACAAAAAAGAAATAAGTTTTGGGAGTGAAGAGATATGATTTGATGGTCTATTTTTTCTTATGATAGTTGTTAAACAGCATAAGGATGTTCAATTCCATTTCTCCCCTGTCGTCTTCGCTGATCTTTCTCATTTTTGTTGCCACTATTTTCCCAAAATTGTCGGCTTCATCTTCATTTCCAGTTCCTTTCATTATTTCTAGCAACTTCTTGTCAACATCGCTCATCTCCTGTCAAATTAATCATTTTGCAACAATTAAAAATTTCATTGAGATACAATTTAGAATGCGCTAATGTAAAAGGAATTGATCAGAAACATTTGAATCAAAACTTTAATACTTAAAATGTAGTTTGTAGAATAATTCAGCATTGTAGGTAGAAGCTTTGGGTTTTCTAATTTACAAACTACATTAATCTAATGGCCTTTTGTATAATTTTTGTTATTAAGGGAAGATGTTAAAATTCTCGGAACAGGCTGCTGCTTCTTAATATTGTATTAATTAATTTATTTTATTTTATCAATCTTTAATGAGGGTGGTCCATCTAGCCAAAGTTGATCATTAGGGACCATCTTTATATAATTTCCTGAACCGACCTGTCACACACTAAAATTTGAAAAATACAATTATCAACATTATTGCAAATTTACAAACAGTAGGCCTTTTCTTTTTTGGTAACTCTCCATCTCCTCTGAAAGTGCACATAAAAAATATTGATTTTTTTTTTATAGAAAACTTTCTCCATTTTTTAGGTGAAGCACGGTACCTGGGACATAAAAAATGCCTATTATATCCCTAGTTCTATTACAATTGGTCATCAAAATCTTTTAATTTAAATATTGCATGTTACTTTGAATCAAAAATTTCATCTATATGTACTTGTGTAAAAATGTTGACAGTTGTTAACAACCCATAATACATTTGTGGATTCCAGCTACAGTATTATCAAATCAAGCGATTGACTATTATACTGATACTTACATTGCTCGGTCCAGTCTTTTCAGCTGGCTTGGATTTTTTGGCCCATGCCTTTTTAACAGCCTCTGAAAATGTATAAACAGTAATAAAACGTATGTTACATGGGTAAAATAACATGTAGTTTTTATGTGGGTGGGGTGTGTAAATATGTTTGTTTTAAACTGAGATGATGTAATAATGCTTGTATTCTATTGGACAAGGGTGATTTGTACAAGTTATTAGCATGAAGCAATCATACACAAATTTCTTACTGTTTGGTTTGTCAACACTTCTCTTCTTCATCGATCCTCTTGGGGCTTCATTCTTGCCAGCTTTTGACTCCTGACTCTTGTCTTCTACTACCTGACTTGATCCAGGTTCCTCCTCTTCAACTTCATCGTGTTGATCTTCAAGTCCCTCAACAATTTTGCCTTCTTCTCCATCTTTCATGTTTACTTCAACTTCTACGTTGTGTTCGTCAATTTCATAACTGCTATTTTCAATATCATCATCTACATCGTCGCTGATGTTATCTGTATTGAGAAAAAATTTAAAACAAGTACCGTACTTATGTTGAATTTTCTGTTGCAATTACCCCAATAATGATTTTGTATACTAGGAATGATCACACCAAAATAAAATCCATTCATATTTAAAAAAAAATTCTACATCATACTAAAATATTATTAAAATATGAATAGCTAAATATTTTTTGAATTACTCTCAAATTTTAACTATACCCAAGTATACATAGGGGCAGAAATACAGCATTAACTCACTTGTGTTTCCCACAAGTCAGTCTGTTTGGTTTATAATAAGGATACCATCTTTTAAAAATATATATATATAATGAGCATTTAAAGTAGTTACCTTTGTCGTCTGGTGGTGTGACATCCCACAAAGAATCATCTATCTCTTCTGAAAAAAAAATTAATTGTTATTGGTCAGTTATTTATCTTTGTGTTTTATATATTTATTTACAGATACCTGAGAATGGGTCTTGAGAGGTTCAAGCAACTTTCAGCTATGGTAGAGCCTCATCTAAAACCGAGAGAAAACAGAGGGCGAATACATGTGTCACCAGATGAAAGGGTTGTAGTGACACTGCGCTACCTCGCAACTGGAGATAGCATGGGGTCCCAATCGTTCAATTTCAGACTTGGTCGTTCAACGGTCTCAAAACATCAAAGAGGTGTGTGATGCCATTTGGGCAGCATTGAACTCTACGTGCCTTAGAATGAACTATCGGTCTTACTAAATACCACACGGAACACACGGGACCACTCGAGACCACACGGGTGCAAAAATGATTAAAATATTACCACACGATAGTATAAAACTGCTATATAATCAATAAAAACCAACTTTTATAATAACAATTGTCCAAAATATGGTAAAAATAATTTTTTTTAAACAGGTTTTTCCGCCGTGCTTCGGAAGGTAATGCGTTGACATTGAGGTTCAGTAACGTATTCACGTCTCCAGAAACGCGTTCAACCTTGACCTCTACCACATTCATTACGTACCTGTCTCTTATACACATCTAGATGTGTATAAGAGACAGTCTTCATCGATTCTCTTGGGGCTTCATTCTTGCCAGCTTTTGACTCCTGACTCTTGTCTTCTACTACCTGACTTGATCCAGGTTCCTCCTCTTCAACTTCATCGTGTTGATCTTCAAGTCCCTCAACAATTTTGCCTTCTTCTCCATCTTTCATGTTTACTTCAACTTCTACGTTGTGTTCGTCAATTTCATAACTGCTATTTTCAATATCATCATCTACATCGTCGCTGATGTTATCTGTATTGAGAAAAAATTTAAAACAAGTACCGTAAGATGTGTATAAGAGACAGCTTTTACAATTGGTCATCAAAATCTTTTAATTTAAATATTGCATAT